TCTCTCTCTCTCTCTCGCGCGCTCTCGCGTGTTCTCACACATCACAGCCACTTTCTTTTCTTTTCTTTTCTTCTTCTTCTTCTTCTTCTTCTTCTTCTTCTTCTTTTTTCTTTTTTTTCCGCGCATCGGTGACCAGCGCACAGCACCGGGCGCACCGTACCGCATGGCGCACCACACACTTGCGCCGCAGGTATGCGTTGAAACCATTCTTTTGCCTTTTCCTGTGGAGCTCTTTCTTGTCTTTTCATGCTTGGGATTTTTTCGTGGTTCGTTTTTTGTTTCTGCTTTTAGTTAGCACCCTCTTTACTAAGCCCCTCATGTACAAGGCTCCCCACGTTGATGTAGTCGAACGAGAGCTGGCCACATCCCTGTTATAGAGAACCGCCCGGGGAACCAGAGGCAGAAAGGGTGAAAGGGACGAGATACGACGGGCTGCAGCATACTTTTTTGTCAGAGTTTCATCCCGTCGTTTCTTGTCCCTTTCACCCTTTCTGCCTCTGGTTTGCCGGGCGGTTCTCTATGATGCAGTCTGTAGAGGGTTCAGCCTCCTGATAAGTATGTCGCAGCCTGTCGTTTCTTGTCAGAGTTTCACCAACTTATCAGGAGGCTGAACCCTCTACAGACTGCACAGTCCTTTAGCCGATGACACTGTAATCAATAGTCCACCTTAACCACGGTAGACCAGAGAATCACTAACTGCCCTGCAACTGATATAGTCTGAGGTGGGCACCAACCACTGGACTCGAGGGTAGCTGTGGACAAATATCACAGCAGATTACCACTCATCCACACCAGACGGAAGACGCTACAGACTTGAGTCACACCCCATCATAAGCCAGCCCCTCGGCCCACGCCTCAAAACGAAGAAAGGTCGGTCACAGAAGTAAACACACTCCAGAGTCCATACACCCCCCCCGCCCTAGCACTAGAGGCACAGCATGGTGTCGCAGTGGCAACCTCGACAACTGCTGCTTAACCAGACAGGATAAAGCCGTAGCTTAGTGCTAACGAACTCGTAAATATATGGCGATAGAGAACTGCCTGGTGAAGCGTAGGCAGAACGGGGGAAAAGGACACCAATGAGCCTAGCTCAGTTGGTACAGTACTACACACCCATGGACTGTTGAAGTACAGGCCTGAGTTGAAATCCTGCTGGACCTTGAATGAATGAATGAATGGAATTAATCATTCTGAATTACCTAGGGCCGTTCCCATGGAGGACCCTTCAGATTACCTGCAGGGGCCCTCTGATATGTGTGAAAGGGATCCTTTGCTCTCTCTCTCTCTCTCTCTCTCTCTCTCTCTCTCTCTCTCTCTCTCTCTCTCCCCCCCCCCYSCATACACACACACACATAGTAACATACCTTTTTTTTTTTTAAAAAAAAAAAGAAAAAAGAAAAAAAGAAAAAAGAACGCATCACTAATTTGTGCATGGCACATGGTGAACACGCACCGCACGGCGCACTGCAGAAATGCACCGCAACTATGACTCCAGCCTATTGGAAATGCCTTTTCTGGGTTCTGGCATGAGGGAATAGACACCTCCGGCTTTTCCCATCCAGCGTTTCCAATAGAATAAACGAACGCGCGGACAGACAAAGACGTAACAGAAAATGCACATGCGCATGCCATTTGCGGACAAACCAGTCAGGGAGAGCGAGGATGATGCATGCTTACGTCATCTGTGTAGATGGTTCTCCAACCGACTGTGCAGCGAGAACGCCAACGGGTTCGCCGGGACAAGCCAAGCTCTGCATGTATTTCACTTCCATCCATTTCTTGAACAGCTTCTTTTCCTTTTTCCGCTCAAAGCAGAATTCCCTCCCTGATTCTTTCTCCTTGCGAGGCTGTTTTGCAATCTTCCTCTGCGTGAGGATATACTCTTCGAGCTCCTTCGCATACGCCTCCGACACTGAACCCAAGTGACTCGTTGGAAGGAAATCACCCATCACAACAGCTTGCTTCCACTGTGGATCTCCGTGCTTCCGCCAGCTTTCACTTGTCTTGCGAAAAGTGTCCACAGATTTAGTGTCGATCCCTGTCCCTTCAAGCTCCTCCAATTGTGCCTTCTCTGCTACGATCTTGTGGTTCTGTATACAAGGAGACCAGCGAACCACAAAAATCAGTATGGACGAATAATCAAGGAACGACTACAGAAATCATTTGGGCTATATTTCCTAGTCTGTACCCCAGGATGTCTGGATGTCCAGAAATATCCAGAAATCCGCACGTCCGGACGGGTCCAGATGTGCGTACGGTCCAATGTCATCCTGTCGGACAGGTACGAACCGTCCGTCCGTCTGAGTGGGCCATATGAACGGGCCCCCAGGAGTTCTTACGGGCTGTACGAATGACAATCGAACTCCTTTTCGGGGCCTTCCAGGGGGCCGCATGTGGAACCGATGACCAGAAGGGAAGGGGGGGGGGGGGGGTTGAAGATGTCGGCGGGCACCTCCCCGAAGCAAAAAATATGTATATATCTTCAAACAGAGCAGCCTGCGTTAAACCGTAGGTAGAGAGGGAGAAGAGGACAACAAACGAGGGGCTGTGACAAACTGTTGAAGTTGTGAACCCTATAATATATAACATAATATATAATATAATATTAATATGCTAGTTTTAATAATTCTCGTTCTCTTCATTTCTTCCTAGCTGCTTGGCCAGTAGTAGGTATTTGGTTTACTGCTTTAGGAATTAGTACCATGGCTTTTAACCTTAATGGTTTCAATTTCAATCAATCTGTAGTTGATAGTCAAGGCCGTGTTATTAATACTTGGGCAGACATTATATATAGAGAGAGTTTTTTTTTTTTTAATTGGGGTGAACAAAAAACGATTGAGTGATTGATGACTATAGATTGCACGAAATACAACCCGAATGCATATGGCAGGAAATACCGCCGGATTCATTTGGAAAAGTCCATGCTGAGATGGCAGGAAATAAAACCCGATTCATGTGGAGAAATCGGAAATTCACAGCAGGAGATCCAGATTTCATTACGGCGATACTCACAGCAGGAAAATAAAACCCGGTTCATTTGGAGAAATCGGGACATCCGCTAAAACTGGATCGATACAGAGAAGTAATTAGCATGGCCCCTGAGCAAGGATGACACGCATAAATCGACAAATGGTCCAAATTGGCAAATTGGCAAATTGTTGAAATGAAATTTTTATTTTTGAAAAAAAAAGGAAATCGAAAATTCACAGCAGGTTCAAAATTCATCACGGCAATACTCACAGCAGGAGAAACCTGAAATTTTCACAGCATGAAAAGTCCGAAAACCCATGCTGAGATAGCAGGACATACAACCCAATTCCTTCGGAATTTCAGAGAAATCAGAAATTCACAGCAGGCTCATAAACCATTCCAGCAAATGATCACAGCAGGAGTTTACTGAATACATACGGCAGGAAATAATAAAAAGTTATAAAAAGCTAGGCTGGGCCGCCGCCCGGCCGGGCGGGCCCTGGCCGGTTGGGCCCAGGGGGGTCCGCCCGGCAAAACCGGGCGACGCAAAAACACAGCAAGGAATTTTTTTATTTTTTTTTTGAAGGCGGGGTTGTGCTGCACTACCCTAGAGGACCACGAATATGCAATAAAAAAGTTAAAGTTGGAGGGTGGGGGGGGGGGGTGCTGGGGGAGGGATGTCAACGGGGGGTCTGGGGGATGTCAATGGTCGTATGTCACAGACCTTGCAGGTGTGTATGTGGAAGAAGAAGAAGAAGAGGAGGACGAGGAGGAGGCGGCGGAGGAAGAAGAAGAAGAAGAAGAAGAAGAAGAAGAAGAAGAAGAAGAAGAAGAAGAAGAAGGTCGGGAAGAAAGATTGGGCGAGACGACGTTGGGGATATGGCCGCCGCGCGGGAAGGTCCAAAACGCGGCCCCACGTGGCACAAGACACAAAAAAAAAAAAAGAAAAAGGAAATGGTGTGAGGGATGGCGGGGGCGAGAAGAAGAAGAAGAAGGGAAGAAGAAGAAGGGAAGGAGGGGGAGAAGAAGAAGAAGAAGAAGGGGCGAGAAGAAGAAGAAGAAGAAGGGAAGAAGAAGAAGGGAAGAAGAAGAAGGGAAGGAGGGGGAGAAGAAGAAGAAGAAGAAGTGAAGAAGAAGAATGGAAGAAGAAGAAACTAAGGAGGGGGAGAAGAAGAAGAAGCGAAGGAGGAGGAGGAGGAGGAGGAGGAGGAGGAGGGGAAGAAGAAGAAGAAGAAGGAGCCGAAGAAGAAGCAGCGAAAGGGGAGAAGAAGAAGAAAACGGCTGGTGGAGGACGGCGGGAAGGGGGGCTCGAAACGGGGGCAAAGAAGAAGAAGTAGAAGAAGCGAAGTAGAAGCGAAGAAGAAGAAGAAGAAGAAGAAGAAGAAGAAGAAGAAGAAGAAGAAGAAACGAAGACGAAGACGAAGAAGATCTCTCTCTCTCTCTCTCTCTCTCTCTCTCTCTCTCTCTCTCTCTCTCTCTCTCTAAGGAAGTATATATTATAGCAATCACACTAAGAGTATAAATGAAAGGAGTGAAATAAAGAGTAGCTTCTGGAAACATTGGTTCCCAATTAACGCGCCTCGATCGACACCAGAGAAAGAGGTAGGCTAGCGCTCTCTCTCTCTCTCTCTCTCTCTCTCTCTCTCTCTCTCTCTCTCTCTCTCTCTCTCTCTCTCTCTCNCTCTCTCTCTCTCTCTCTCTCTCTCTCTCTCTCTCTCTCTCTCTCTCTCTCCCTCCCTCCCCCAAACTAAGTCCCTTACCTTGTTGAGGCGGCCGTCGGGGGGGCGACGGCGGGGTCACGTGCCATGGCGGGCATTGGCAGGTGCTGGCGGGGTGCGTTGAAGTTGCGCGTCATGCCAGCAGGGCACATCTTCAGCATGGGGGAGGGAACGGGGGCCGGTAGTTCCCGCCCCCACCGATTTGAAATCGGTGCAATCTGGGCCGTCGATCTTCGAAATCGACGATCCAGATGGGGCCCGATTTCAAATCGGTGAAATCGGGCCTACCGGCCGCGCTTTTTTTTTCCGCGGTCCACACGGTCTATGAAGGGGGCAAAAAGGGCCCCAGTGCCGGAAAAAAAAAAAAAAAACTACCCYACAATGATGCGCTGGGGGTGCCCGGTGGCCAACCGGGCGCGACAACCGGCCAGGCGGCCCGGCACCCCCCCCGGGCGACGGCCAGGCTGCCGGGCGGCCCGGGGACCAGCCTAGATAAAAAGTTAAAAGTCAAAACTTGAAAATTAAAAACCAGTTCCTTAAAAATAAAAATAAAAAAAAATCCATGTTGAGATGTGCGAGGCACAAGGCCTCGAACGCCCTACTGGGCCCTATTTTCAACACAGTCGGCCGCCCTAAGTGAAGGCAGGCTCGACTGAGGCCTACAGGCCATTTTGGGGGTCACCACGCAACTGGGGAAATTCAGGCTGTTGCGCAGCGCCAGTTGGTTGAGAGCGCCCAGGGCCAGGCTGCCTTTCATCGTATGTAACTGAGGCAGGCCCTGGGCCAGATCACAACATGGATCGAACAATGGCTGAGGGCAGTTGGGTGCAGGTAACCACCACAGGCCCTGGGCCTGTTGCCTTTGGACTGAGGCTCAGCCTCGTGGGGCCTACCAGAAGCTTCTGGGCCGAGGCCCAGTGGGCCAGTACCGCATTACTGCACGCAGCAGCAGGCCACCTCGATATAGGGAAGGGCCTGCTCACGCATTGGACATGCGGGCACTGGCTGGATGCTGCGCAAGCGCTGCTGCGCTAACGCTGGCCAGCGCTCACGCGCTCACGGGCGCGCTGGAAGGAGCAGGCAGCCACAGCCGAGCTGTGCTGCTGTATGCTGGATGGGGCGCATGGTGGTTCTTGGGTGCATGTGGCATCTGTGAGTTGAAGATCGAGGTCGTGAGTGATACGAGGGACATACCTGGTGCTTGAGGCGAACGGCATTGGCCGAGATTTTCTTGTACTTCGGGGAGCTGTTGACGTCATCTGGGGGGCATTGTAGATTAGGCTAGATAGGATCTGCCATCTGTAGTCTGGGCGCCGAGCGCCAGATAGGATATCGACATTGATTCTTCGTTGATGATGATGAGATTATTCCAGCATTGTCAATTATGAGCTTTTGCTGTGCTCTTATTTGGTGAAACTCGTGATGCAATTCTGCTATTGGTTCGAGGTCACAACTATCTGGTCTCATGTGTATAATGCTGTTTGATTTCTGAAGTTCGCTATCGCTCATTTTCCTTGCAGATGGAAGAAAATACACAAATTTCGTTTCCAGAAAACCATGTTCGTATAAACAATGATTAAGGCATATTCACACCAGCAGCTTCCTGAATGCAAAATGGCCAGAAACACGACCCGATTCAGTGCAAAACCCTTGTGTGAATATATTCGCTAAGTGTCTTAAACACGACCCGTCTCAGTGGAAAATCCTTGTGTGAGTATTATGCGCTTACATGTCTTACAGAGGCGTTACAAACCTTTATTATTATTTTTTTTTTTTTCTTTTTCACAGAGGCATTGCCGACCACCATACCTGAGCCATAAAGTCAAACTTTGTGAGATAGCTAGTCTTCATCACATCCACGCCATCTTCCCCATAGTAGAACTGAACAATCGAACCGTCAGAGTCGCGAACAGTACAGTCGTAGTGCACTCGAAGACACTCCAGATTCTTCACAAGGCAACGCTGTAAATACCCACTGCGGGACGTCTTCACAGTCGTGTCAACGAGGCTGCACAATATGGCAAAAATGCCAAAAATAACATTACCCAAACGTGTTCCGATCATTATCTGAAAGCATGCGCTTGACGCCGTTTACACCCACACAACCCTCAAATGACATAGCAAAGTATTCACCATGAATCACCAGCCACTTCATTGTTTGTTTGTCTATATGTGTGTGTTTTTTTAACTTTTTTAAGTTTTTTTTTCTTTTTTCCACGAAGTATTTCCCCCCCCAATTCTTTGGAAGATACAGTTCCCAACATGAATCACAGCAAAACTCAGCAGGGCTTGCTTGCTATACGGCTATGACGCAATTCAACATGGGATAGAGGCTCGGAAGATGCACCCCCCAACCCCCCATCCCCCCCCCCCCCCCCCCCACCCCCCACTCATCCCTGTGGCCAAACTATCGCCAAAAAATAATCCCATCCGAAAGAGATTGCAGCATTCTCTAGAAGCCATTAACCATATGCTGAACATAAGATAGTTTTTACTTGGATCTCAGGAACCTCAAATCTGGGACCCACGGCCCTCGCTCAGTCGGTACACCCATCAACTGTTGAAATAGAGACCCACGTTCGAATCCAGATACAGTCAGATGAACATAATAAAATAACCTGCCGCCTGTCAGGTCAAGGATGATATTTCAAGGCTGCTAAAAACCAAAAAAAAAACCTAAGAAAAAATCTGGGAACCTGGGACCTGAGCTCTCGGAATCTGGGACCTGGGATCACATATTCCCGCAGTCAATTCATCAAGTTCAATAAATGATCCGGTTCAATGAATGACCCTTCTCGGAATCTGGGACCTGGGATCACATATTCCCGCAGTCAATTCATCAAGTTGAATAAATGATCCGGTTCAATGAATGACCCTGTTGAGGACCGATGGGACTACCTCTGTTACACCAACAAGTGAACCCCGCCGCGGCGAAGCCGCGGCCCAGTGCCAGCCCCACCGCAGGCACAGCCATTATCTGGCCCAGGCGAGATCGAGGGTGTTTGTTTTAGAAGCAGCATTCGGGGGGGGCATCGGCCAAGGCATCAGCACGCCGTCGGATCCTTTGTAAATTAGAACTATTTTATTGAGGCCGCCGCTGGATTTGAATTTTCAACTCACGTCTGCAATTAAACAGTTTCACGTGTGCATCAACTGAGCAGCCTGCCAATGTGCAAAATGAGAAGGAATCTTCCGCAAGAACATAGGAAGATGCACCGCGA